AGGGACATGGGGAACATAGTCCCTCACCTCTGGAACCATGTGCCTTGCAACAGGAAAACCATATGGAGGGAAGAACACTGGCATGCACAGGACCATCGTACACCTGAATGGCTTCCCCTTGATGGAACTGAGTGGCTACACCACAACCGAAGTCTGCTCCCTGGCCCCTGCACCAGCAGAGTCAGACAAGGACAGCTGTAGCCTGTGTCGGCACCTGACCAACTCTGATTTCCATCCCACACCAGGTGGCTTTGGGCAAGTTGTTTAATCTGCCTGAGCTTTTAGTTTTCTGACCCAGAAAATGGGGAGACAGGCAGTACTTGTAGTTAGAGTAACATATCAAAGTAGCAGCAACAGTGATGGTACCTGGGGCTGATACAACTGCTGACACTTCCTCCCACCCTGGACCTGTGACATCTACGTCTGTGTCCTGGAACTCCAGCCCACCCCTGCACAGCTCCAGGGACAGAGCACCTGTTCTGTTCTGGATGCAGATGCTGCTGCTCAGGGACGTGGCGTGCTAGGCTGGAGAGCAGTTGTAGACGGAGCTGTGACTCCCTGCGGCCTGAGCTTGACTGTTTCCTTCCCTCTCTATGGTGCTTCCCATGTGCTAGCTATCTCATTCAGTCGTCACTGCACCCCAGTGACTGAGGCACTGTCCCTGTGTTCACTGTATAGATGAGGGAGCGGGGTTCAGAGTGCTTTGCTGTAGCTGGCAGAGTTCACCATGGCCTTAGAATATCAGCTGCCACTGCGGTTTATATTGTTCATAGCAGTATATTTACATGGCTTATTGAGTGAAAACAAATCTTTTTCTGTATTTTAAATTTAATATTATTTCTCCTTTTTAGGATACCTGTAACTTCTGACTTTAAAAAAACTGATTTGCGGTTACTAAAAATGTTTAAAATTTGATATTCATTTTTTCCAGCTAAAAAATTTTTTTCTGGGTACATTCCCGCCCCTCCGGTCCCAGAAGGAAAATTCCCTTTCACAGATAACTTAGACTTTGTTAAATGCTGAGCTTTGTCAGTTTATCATTATTTTTATTTTTGAAATGATTACAACATACAGTCTATAGAATTGGAAATTGTAAGTTTTTAAAAAGTACTGAGAAACTTTAACCCTGTTATAATTACTCTGCAAACCTTTCAAGTTGTGTGCAGTCAGTGCAGCTAGATGAAAAGCCCTGATAGATTGGAAACATAGAGGCTCATTTGTCAGCCTCAAGTTTCTGTCTTGAGTTCCCACCCACTTGGTCTTTCTGTCCCAATAATCTCAGGGGTGATTTCCTACCCTAGGTTCATGGGAACGGGGAAGGACACTGATTCATTCTCTGGAAATACTAGGGAGTTTAAAGAAGACAAGACAGGCGGGCTGATTGTGTCACTTCCTGTTGCTTGATCAAAGTTTGCTGAAGAGACGGGAGTCACAGAGTGACTGCCAGGCAGTGGGCAGTTAGTTGCCTGCTGCTGACCCCAGTGTCTAGCAGTGCCTGCTTCTCAGTGTGGCCAGTCAGGCTGCCCTGACCTCTGGGCTTCTTAGAAGTCATTGGTGCGGGCGGTGCTCGGAGAGGGAGTGACAGGAAGCAGAGCTGTGTGGTTGCCGGAACACAAAGGCGGCTTGTGGATGCCGCCGGATAAGGCTGCAGATGGAATCCTGACTGGCTCCCGCACATTTGGGCCGGTCTGCACTTGGATTTCTGAGCTGTCAGTCAGCATCATTTCCCATGCACAGAATTCTGACGAGTGGTAGGGCCCAAGACTTGGAAGGAGTAGAACTCCACACTCTGCAACCGTTGTATATGCCCATAGGAAATCAAAGAAAAAGAACAGACTCCTGGTGAATAGAATGGAGGAGGCATGGAGCTAATGTTGATCGGTGCAGCCCAACAAGGGTTAATTGAGCTGTGCCCAACCTGGTTCTGGGTTGGGAACGCAGACCGTGGTCCCAGGCCTTGGCTGCAAGTGCTTGATGTGGGGTGGGAGGGCAGAGCAAGGCAGGCAAAGCCCAGGGCACTGAAGCTTGGACAGGTCCTGGGCAGGGAAGAAGCGAGAGTGAATATGGGTTCTGTCTCGTTCTCAAGTAGAGGATGGAGGGCAGGGTAGAATGTGTGGAGAGGATGATGGCATGAGGCTTAGGTCCACGCTGGAAAGGACAGACTATGTGGCACTGCAGTGAAGAGCCTGAGCTTCTCCAAAGCCTGTCCCTTCATTTGTATAGTGTGGGTAACGTTTAGTCCTGGAGGAGACCTGGAGGTTGGAATCCCTCCTGAGAGCCCCTCGAGGAGCCCATGAGACAGAGCAGGGTTGGCCTGGGTGCTGGGACCCTGGGCCTCACAGAGCTGGTCCCCAGGCTGGGGCGCCATGCACTCCTCTTACCTTTAGCTCCTCCTGCTCAGAGCCAGCTTCACAGCCTAGGATGGCCCTGAGTTTACTGTGGGTGGGAGGATCAGGGGTCCAGTGACCTCTTGCCAGCAGGATGAGCTCAGATTCACCTTGTGGGAGGCAGGTGTGGGCTCCATGGGCCCATGGGCAAGATAAAGAGCCCAGAAAGGCATTTGTGAAGGGCAAGGGGCAGTGTGTGGCATAGGGCGAGTATGAAAACAACTGTTAATTTGAAAAAGGGGGAGTCTGAAGCTGCACTGGGGAGTTAGTTACTGTATTCATAGGACAGTGATAGCTCTAACAGGAAAGAACTATGGCCAGTGTGTGTTTATTTTTTTATTTATGCACTTAAAATGTAAATTTCTGGATGGATTCTGCGTACCCTTGTTTGAGATGAGGACAGAAGAATGTACTATGAAGAATTTCCTCTCTGCCCCCTAGTTTATCTTGCATTCCCATGGTGTGCCAAATCTATGAAGAAGCAAACACCTACTCATCTGTAACACATGTTAGCAAACAGCATGCACACCTGTTCCCTGCCAACACAGGTGACACTGTGCACTGCTCTGCACCTTGCTTTCCCCCCTCTCGCTGTATGTGGAGACCATTCTGGAGTGGTACAGAAAGGTCTTCTTCATTTGCAGTGTTTATTTGTAACCCATCTCTTACTGTTGGGCATATATGTGGTTTCCAACTTTAGGGACAATAAACACTCCACAGGGACATTTGCCATGTGTACAAGCTTGGCTGGATCACATGTTAAGTGCATTTTGATAGTGCTTTCCCAGTTGGCTCTGCAGATTAAACCAATTCACCCACCCCTGACAGTATGAAATAGTTCTGAGCTTTTTATTTTGTTTATTTATTTTTGCAAAGCTGAGGAATGAACCCAGGGTCTTTGTACTGAGCTACATCCCAGCCCTTTTTAATTTTGACATAGGATCTTGCTAAGTTGCCTAGCCTGGGCTTGAACTTGCAGCCCTCCTTCCTCTGCTTCCAGAGTGCTGGGATTCCAGGTGTGTACAGTTGAGTCTGTTTTAAATATGTTATGTACCTAATACATGATGGAGCCAATGTCCTTCCACATGGCTACGGGAGAAACCTAGGCCCTCCTGTCTGTAAGATGCTGCTGCTGCTGCTTGCACCTGGGCCTACTCCCAGCTCCCTCCTGTCCTGGGTGTGGGATGAGGAGGGAGAAGGGCCCAGGGTGGAAAGGGAGCTAGACATGCCAACCTGCCTAAAGCCAGATGCACACCATCTCAGCCACTTCTCTCAGTGTTAGGATAAAATACCCCATACCTGCAACTTAGGAGAAGAGCCACTTGATTTAGCTCCTGTTTTTGTAACTTTTAGTCAGCAGCAGGGTGGAAGGTCTAGACAGAGGAAAGCTGCTTGCAGCCCAGCTGTCAGAAAGCAGAGAGAGAGAGAAACAGTAGAGACAGGAGGAGAGATTTTCCCTGGCAGGTCGCCCCCAGTGACTACCTCTTCTAACCAGACTCTACCTCCTGACAGCATGCTCCAGTCACCTTCCAAAAGCCCTACCTCTGAGAATAGGAGCTTTAGGGAATCCAGGTAGAAACCCTAACACTGCTGACCCTCCTGGGGTCAGAGGAGCATAGGAAACAGAGCAGTGACTGAGTCAGCAGTCCTGGCTTGTAGCACCCTTTGGTGTTTATTGGATGCGTGACCTAGATCACAAATCCCCTTGTCCCTGAGTCTCCCTTTTCTCATCTGAAACACACATAGCTAGTGGGGACGAAGTAAGCTGGTCTAGTGCACTTCGTCAGTGCCAGCAGGGGGACAGAGATGTCCCCTCTACCACATCATTGTCATTAGAATCACTCCCATAGCAATCTTCCTCTGCCTCTTACTGACCATAACTGAGTCTGGAAAACCTCCTCATGGGGCATTTTGTAAGCTAAAATGAAATCATGATTCCTTTCAGGGGGGCAAATACTTGTATTTTCTCCATTCACAAAGTCCAACCCCTTAGTTTCTTGTTGAAATGACTCTAAATGCCATTAAAAAGGACACAGTCCCTCTGCAGGGTGACGCTAGGTTCCCCCATCAGCTGCTCTGTGACCATCCATTATCTGTGGCTGGGCTCTGGTGTGCCGTGTGGGGAAGGATGCATCCAGGCACTCATGGAACTCATGCATGCAGAGCTCAGTGGCCCACAGTACTAAGAGAAGCACCAAGTACTCCCTTGGCCCCCACCCTTTACTTCTTGAGTCTTTTTCTCTTCTTTCTGAGCAAGGGTGAGTGATTAGGCACTGTCCACACCTAGCACAGAACATAAGGTTTTTCCTGCTTAGAATGACAGTAATAAGATTGATAAAATAGATGTGTGGGTTCAAATTTGGATGAGCTTTCCCCTAAATTTAGCCCTGCTGCATGTTAGCTGTGTGGCTCTGGGCAAGCTCTGTGTTGTGGGCCTCAGTTTCCCCATATCGCTTGGTGGTTCTGAGGCCTAGTGAGGTCTCGCAGGTCTAGGTATCCCACCCAGGGCCTGGAGCCAGGAAGTGTATGGTTACCATGCATTCCTCTTTGCCCACTTTGCTGCAGTGCTTTTTCTAGCCTTCCTCTTGTTGACCTTACCTTCTCTCATCCCAGGGGCCCAGATCATCGACCTAATGATGCTGGTCATCGATGTGACCAAGGGGATGCAGACCCAGTCGGCAGAGTGCCTTGTGATCGGCCAGATTGCCTGCCAGAAGATGATCGTAGTGCTGAACAAAATAGACCTCTTAGCCGAAGGGAAGAGACAGGCAGCCATCGACAAAATGACCAAGAAAATGCAGAAGACCCTCGAGAACACCAAGTAGGTTTGCCAATGGGAGGAACGCTGTCCTAGCAGAACTTGACATGGACTGGGCAGGCAGGGTCAGCCTCCTGCTGTTGTGGAATTCCCCCTGGTGCTTGCACCCTCAGGGCTTCAGTGAGCTGGGAAAAGGTGAAGGGTTATTAAAAGAGGCCAGAAAACCCAGGAACATGAAGAAACTAGACGCTGCCTTTCAGGGAGCTTGCTCATCAGAGCAGCACACATTGGCGGCTGGTTGTGCCCTCTCCTGCTCCAGGCTGTAGGCATACCTCATCTCTCTGGTCAGAGCAAGGCACTGGCACTTGTACGCCTCAGCTCCCAGAGGGGAAGCTGAGGGCTGTGCGCCGTGTGAAGGCCTGGTGCAGAGGGCAAGTTCCCTCTCGGGTTCTCCATCCTGCCCACATCTCTGGGCCAGGCCCTGGTGTAGAGCAGCTGGGAACCACATTCTTTGGCCGTCTGCTTCTCCACATCTTGATGGTCAACAAGGAACAAGGAATTTAGGTAGATGAATGGTCATTTCTGTCCAGGAGTTTGTGGTACTTACTGGGTGGATGGATGGATTGATGTTGCTGCTGGAGGCCAGAGGAGAAGATGGCAAATGACACAGGGCCTATGTTGCAGCTGGGGCAGGGAGTGTGCATTGTTGTCTTGTAGAGATGGGAAGTGGTCATAGAGTTTCATGCGGGTCTAACTGGATGAAGATCCTCATCAGGAGCTCCAGGCCTGGTCAGGAAGACCCAGGTACACTGGGGCATCAGGGAGGAGGACGAGGCAGGCCGCACTTGGTAGTTGCTTAGGGATGGAAGGTATGGCCCTTAGTTGAGACTATGAAGGAGGGAGAAGAGGACATGGCCTTTTGAGGAGGCTACTTCACAGACATTGTCTATTTCTGGGCGCCGATGACAGTCGAGGCAGGAAGGTGCCAGAGCCAGCAGGCAGAGCAGGATAGTGGTGCAGGGGTAGCTTGGGATCAGGAGCCACCTGGGTGCTCAGGCAGTCTCAGGATGAGTGACCCTGATGTGGTAGAGAAAACGAGTGAATGTCGTTGTTGAGCACACAGAGTTTGCAAACGTTGTTGTATCAATTTCCTGCTTCCTCTCTGAGCCGATCCCTTTTGATCAATACTAAATAATGGTCACTGGGAGACAGGGATGCTTCCTCTTTGCTATGCAGCCAGAGACAATATCCTGCCACTGCCACCTCTCCTTCTCTGGCCCTCAGAGAGCAAGCAAGTAGAGAGTGTTTTTGTTTCCCTGTCATAAAGATTGATACAGCTTCTCATTTATGATTTTTTTTCACATCCAACACCTGCAGCTCTCCCTCAGAATTCTCACATTGGTTAAATTAAAGCTCTAGCACTGTGAATGGGCCAAATATGTCATAAAAGATTTCCTAGCGCTGCCTTTTGTTAGCAAAATTCATCAATCCGATAAAATCGACACATTTAGATAAGTGTTGCATAAGAATTCAGACTTTGTTATTCCCAACGGAAGTGGATATGAGACTGTAAAAAGGAAGATAAAAAATTATATCTTCTTTTTAGTGAGTTATTTGATCTCCCTGCCATTTTATTTACTTGTCAGAAAGGGGAGAACAGGTCTTTTGGACTCCTGCATAAAAACCTGATACAGTGTTAGTATCATTTTCCATATGAACAGGCCTTCTGGGAAGGGCTTAGCATACTTCGGAAGGTAAATTAATAGTTGCCATTGATTAATTAAATTTAAGAAAATTTCTCACTTGCATGTTTGAATTATTATTCTTATTTTAACTTATTGGTTCAAGTTATGGACTTTCTTACACAGACGAAATTGTCCATCGGAGGAGCTTCAGAACCATCTATTCCTACAGCACCCAAGGGTGCAGAGAAAGGAAAGTACAGTCACCCTGGTAGGTGTGACCAGGGGGCCAGTGCTAGGCAGACCAGTCGTCTTGCAAGGGAACGGCAGCTTTTATCTTCATGGAGCTGAAGCTTCTTAAATCATTTTAAGGGATTGTTTCCCTTCTTTTGGTCCCTTGCTTAGTAAATACTGGTCTAAATGTGAAAACATTTTTTGTCTGGAAAGAACAAATGTGGACTGGTGAACCACACACATATCAAAATCTGAAAAATGCTTAAACATAAAACTTACTTTCTCTACCCAAAGAGTAATTAAAATAGAACTTGGACAATAGAGAAATGTGGTTAAAAGAAAGAAGAGATGGGCCGAGGATTTAGCTCAGGGGTTCTGCTGCCTGCCTCGCAAGTTCAGGATCCCAAGTTCGATCCCTGGTACCAAAAATAAAGAAAGAGGAGACCACCCAGAAATTTCTTTTCTCAAAATAGCAGCTGTTAATATTTTGAGTTTTAAAAAATTTGTCTTTTTACTATGTGTAGTATTACCCTCTTTCCTTCCACATTTTTTATTGTGGTAAAATGTACAGAATATCATTTTAACCACTTGGAAATGTGTAGTTTGGTGACTTTAAATACATTCACATTTCTACATCCCCCCAGAAACTTTTCATGATTCCTGACATAAGCTGTGACCAGTAAGCAATAACTCTCCCTTCTACCCTTGCCCCAGTCCCTAGGAATTTCTGTTTTACTTTCATAGAGATGAATTTACCTATTGTAGATACTCTGTATAAGTGGAATCCTACAGAATTGGGCCTTTGTATCTAAATTTCATGTAGCCTAATGTTTTTAAGATCCAGCCGAGTTACAGCACATGTCAAATTTTCACTCCTTTTATGGCTGTATAGTATTCTATTGTGTATGTGCCGCATTTCATTTAACCACTCCTCTGATGGTGGATGCATAGGCTACTCTCTGGCCATAGTAATAATGTTGCTATGAAATGACATCTGTTCCAGTCCCTGTTTCAAGGTCTTTGAACATGTACTCCTGTATTTCTAGGAGTGGAATTACGGGGACATATGGTACTTTGGTGTTTAACTTCTTGGGAAATTTCCTATTTTCCATAGCAGGTGTATTATTTTACATTCCCACCAGGATTCCAATTTGTTCACAGCCTCCTCGACATTTATTATATTTATTTTTTTCTCAAGTAGCCAACAAGGTGTGAAATGATATCTGTTTTGATTTGCATTTTGCTAAAGATTTACATCTTTTCATGTGCATGTTGACCATTTGTATGTGTTCTTGGAGAAATAGCTCTTCATATCCTTTGTCCATGTTTTAATTGGGCTATTTGTTGTTGAACTATAGGCTTATATATTATGAACATTAATCTCTTAATTCATGACTAAGAGATATCTGTAAATTTTTTCTCCCATTCTATAGGTTGTTTTTAAATTTTCTCAATAGTGCCCTTTGATTAAAAAAAGTTCTTAATTTTGATGAAATCTAATTATTTTTCCTTTCATTGCCTTTGTAGAATCTGTCATTTGCTTTGGGTTATGGACATTGTAGCACAACCGTGTCTCCTAGTCCATGAACATGGGATGTCTTTTCATTTATACCTCAGGTCTTTATAAATTGCTTTCACACATGTTTTGAGGTTTTCAGTGCTCAAGTCTTTCACTTCAGTAGATTCACTCGTTAGTGTTTAATTCTTTCTGATGCTATTGTGAATGGGCTCACTCCTTTAATTTCCTGTCTGTATTATTCCTTGCTAGTGCATAGAAACATAACTAATTTTTGTTGATGTGCCCTGTACCACTGTTGACTCTAACTATATCCCCTCCCCTTTTCTATCATCTAGTTATAATGATAAGGTGTTTTCATTTTTAATTTCTACTATCATTACTAATTTTTTTACATAAAAATTTTTCAGGTAATCATCCCTCTGTTCTTGGCTCTGTAGACTGGCTTAAGTTTTCCTTCTCCTGGGCTGACCATCTTTGTAAATCAGTAAACTTTGTATTTTCAGTTATTTCCTCATCATAGATTCCCAGGTGTGGGATTACTGGATCAAAGGCAAGAACATTTTTAAACCTTTTGTTGAACACTACCCTATTATTTTCCAACAGGTTCTGCCATTTTACAGAGGGATTAGCAGATAACTTTGGTTTACAAGATTAAAACATATTTGAAGCTATAGAATAAGCATGGTATTTTACTCTTGTTGTATTAATACTGTATATGGTTTTTAAATTACTGGTGAAAGTAGACATCTTTTCCTTAAATGTATTAAAGTTGTATTTTGTGTGTGTGATGTATTTTGTCTATTTACCCCTTGAAAAAAATTTTTTCTTGGTATCCAGGATCGAACTTGGTACCTTCCACTTTCAAGGCAACAGTGGAACCACTGAGCTAAATCCCCAGCCCATGCCCCTTGAAATTTTAATGCTTTGTTTTTGTTAGCAGGAGTGTTGTTTTCTTGGTTGTTTGAGATAGGGGCTCACTATCTAGCTCAAGCTGGCCTTGAACTCACAGCAGTCCTAGTGCCTTGTCTCCTAAATGCTTGGGATTAAAGGTGTGCACCTCCATACTCGGCAGGAGTGTTTAATATTAATAAGACTTTGCTGTTGACCCTTTAACTGTCACACTTGTTAAAACCAAGTCTTCGGCAACACTTGTTGTGCTTCCATTTCAGTTGCTTTTTTTTGGTACCCAGGATTAAACTCAGGACCTTGCACTTTCAAGGCAGGTGGCAGCACCACTGAGCTAAATCCCCGGCCCTCAGTTGCTTTTTTTTGACAGGCAGAAGTTTCTAATTTTTATGTAGTCAAACTCTTTGATTGTTTTTCTTTATGATTTATCTCTGAAAGCATTTAAAATTACTCTTGCATAATATCAATGTTAACAGAAATCAGAATAGAAGATAAAAATGTACCCGCAATCTTCCCAGTGCATCAAATTAAAATGTTTTCTCCCCAGGAACCCTGTCAGTCTTTCCCACATGTACATAATTTGAAGTAGTTATCAACATGTTGACACTTGTCCGTGTTCTAGGCTTCTCTATTTATTTTCCCACTAAATGTTATCATATGATAGTATCCTTGATACATCTTTCCCCAGACTTCCCCTAGTTTCTTCCTGCTTTTGAAACACT